GTTCTATCCCTCTTTAATTTCAGTTATAATCAGGGATGTTGAAATTATCCATTTAGAGTCTCCCAATAAGATTATACTATCCTAAAGGGCAGGGACTATTTCTTAAGAAAATGTCTGCTGAATTGAAACCAACTGTGGAAACCAAATGGTTATATTAACAGACTCTTCAGGAGTTGGAGTCAGAACTGGCTCCACCTAATCACAACATACCAAATATTTCTTTGGGTGTCCCCCTTTCTCTACTCCAATTTTTTTCTTCCCATTTTATCCTTCAGTTGCAACAAGGCCAGAAAAGTTACTGACTGATATAAAAACTCACTGATACTAGACAAAGCTTGTCAAGATCTCAGTCTTCAGGGTACACATTTTTATTATTATAACTATGCCCACATTTTAAAAAACATCACTTTCTGGGTTATTTATGAAACATCCAAACAACAGGAACTTTTGTAATGGGCATGATAAACTTTTAGATCCTGTATAACTATACATGCCACAGGCATGAACAAAAAAGAAATTCTCTTCTGGCATCATTTTCACTTCTAAACAAACCCACATGAAAGACCACTTGATGGGCAGCACTTATCAGCTAAAAATTAACAACATGAAAACCAGTAATAGTTCCTCGTTACTATTTCAAGTAGTCTTTTGATGATTTCTGGGGGAGGAGAGGAGGTCCAGAGTCTCAGTTTAATCTGATAATTTGTTAATTGCCATTTTAATCAGGAGGTACTCTTTCAAGTGGCTGCATTTAGAAGTGAAAACAATGTTGCTAGTCATAAAGTTTCTGGTCTCCTATCAGAACCGGAAAATCCTAGTCAGCCTGTGGGGAGAGCCAAACTGAAATATGGTAAAATCTTATTTATTCTCTCCCTTGGAGGACCAAAGGTTACCCAGATCTATGCTATGCAAATCTTCCCACTCTTCTCTCCAGCAGGAGAGAAATGTGTACCCACCTTAGAAAAGCATGCATTCTGGAAAAATCCCAGGATCTGAACTTTATAAATAAACAGGAAGGATTCCTTCCTTTCCTAGGGGAACCCACTGGCTCTGTTCTCATTCACATGTCCCGAGACCACCACAGGTCCAGGTTGTTCCAGGACTGCACAGGGCTGGAGGAAACAAGGAAAAATCACCACCTTATAAAGATTAACCAGGCATGGGTCCACGGGTCAGTGAGGAGCTAATACAACAGAGAATTTAAAGTATCCATTGAAGTAACATCCTATGCCTTCTTAATAGAGATTAGCCCATGCAAGTGGAGTCTGTACCTTGGGTGCTTCACTTCTGCAAAAACAGAAAAATGTTGATGGATACTGAAATATTTCATAGTCATTTTAATCAAAAGTACATCATCTTAGTAAGAATAAATAATGTGCCTTAAAAATAAAGTATAAAAAATTGTGAACAGAATCCTAATTCATTAGTTTGCCACCTTTCCCCTCATTGGTCAGATTTCCTTTAAAAATCTATCCATCCATGTAAGTCCTAGTTCTATAGACATTTTTTTTTGGAGACAGGGTCTCACTATGCTGCCCAGGATGGACTTGAACTCCCAAGATCTGGGAACATAAGGTTCCTCTGACAGTAATATTTCATTACAAATACTACTTTTCAATCTAATTTCCAGAGAAACAGGTTACCAAATCACACACAAGTATTGTGAAACTAAACTGCCCAAAGTTGGAAGTGGTAGGCTATGTCTTCTTCTCATACCTCACTCCTCCTCAAGCCCAACTTCTTTTCTAACCTCCAGACACTCCTCTTGGTTAGTCGCAACCATGGGACCATACCCTGCAGGGCCCAGTACAGTAACATGGGAAGGCTGCACATAACAACTCCCCTGTGGGTTGTTAAGATTTCTCCTGTATTTGGAGAAGGAGATTATCAAATTATTCAGTTCCTACTGCTCATTATCCTTAAAATGTACAAGTGAAGAAAATAAAAATCTTTCTGTTATACCAAATATGAGCATAAAAATGAATGTATGGGAAGAGGTTTTCAGATACTTATAAATAAATGTATTTGGACTACCTGCCACCAGTAGCCTTGAAATACTGGGCTCACTGGTCTGTTTCAGTCAGAGTATCAAAAACACATTTTCTCAAAGCGGAAACGAAAATTAAATGCTAATATCCTAAAGCCATATTACAACAGAGGGTGTACATATATTAACACATGTATATGGGGAATCTAAAGTTAGGGTTCTCTCAAGACTGATACACCCTATACCTACTCTGCAGGGATTCTGATTACTAATACCAATGAACTATAACTCCATAAAATGTAAAAAGAAATATATAGGCCCTAGCTAATGAAAACAATGTGGAGAAGCCCCATTCTAATTTAGAGTTCTCAATTTATTACCTGGACACATTTTCTCTGATCCTATTCTCATACAACATACGGAGAGGAAAGGAAATGTAAAACTTCTTTTCTACTCTCCAGGGGCTCCATCGGCCTGCTAGTACTAGGAAGGATTGTCAGTAGTTGTTGGCTAAAACATAGATGCATCCCAAGCAAGGTACCTGGATGCCAGCCCAGACACTTCCTGCTGCTAATCTCCAGGAGACATTTCCTACTATAGCAGGTCTCAGAATTTCTGCCTCCTGGTGGGCAGATTTCTTGGCAACCACAGGGAGAGTGGAAACAAAGAGGGAGCAGAGGTATAAAATCCTCTCTTTCAGCCCTGGCCTATAACAAAAGCTGAGGTGTGTAGGGGACTGACATATATTTTCCTAGTTTAAGAATTAAAGTTAGTGGCCGGGCGCTGTGGCTCACGCCTATAATCCTAGCACTCTGGGAGGCCAAGGTGGGCAGATTGCTCGAGGTCAGGATTTCAAAACCAGCCTGAGCAAGAGAGAGATCCCGTTTCTACTATAAATAGAAATTAATTGGCCAACTAATATATATAGAAAAAAATTAGCTGGGCACTGTGGCGCATGTCTGTAGTCCCAGCTACTTGGGAGGCTGAGGCAGGAGGATTGCTTGAGCCCAGGAGTTTGAGGTTGCTGTGAGCTATGCTAACGCCACGGCACTCACTCTAGCCTGGGCAACAGAGTGAGACTCTGTCTCAAAAAAAAAAAAAAAAAAGAAATATGTTTTATAAGGCTATAGCTGTCTCAGATACTGATTCCTCTGGTGGATCTGGGCAAAGTCCATTGAAAACCTTCTGGAAAGGAGTTATCATTCTAGATGCCATTAAGAACACTCATGATTCAGGATGGAGGAGGTTCAAAATATCAGCATTAACAGGAGTTTGGAAGAAGTTGATTCCTACTCTCATGAATGACTTTGAGGGGTTCAAGACTTCAGCAGAGAAAGTAAATGCAGATAGGTTTAAAACAGCAGGAAAGCAAGAATTAGAAGTGGAGTCTGATGATATGACTGAATTGCTACAATCTCATGATAGACTTTGAGTGGATGACGAGTTGCTTTTTACGAAGGAGCAAAGAAAGTGGT